GGATTCTGACCCCCAGTTTCGTCGTCTGTAAGGTGCGGATAGTAACACTTTAGAGTCGGTAACACATGGAAAGTGCTAGAACAGCCCCGCGAAGGGTGGAGGCAACTCCAGCCTCCCTTCCTGGGGGCCTCGAGCGTGGGGTACCTACGGGTTGCGGGGGGGAAGTATTGGGGGGGTCGACTCCGCTGTGACTGCACGAGAGGGACTGGTGAGAGGCCCCGGGAAACGAGGGGTGCGGAGCTCGCGGGGGGCCAGAGGGTCGGTGTGGGCCCCGCGAAGGGCCGCGGGGGCGGCTGAGTCATCACCTGCCGGCCGCCTTTCATTTACTCTCTTCCTTTAAAGGATTTAACAGGAGCAGGAAGTGATCGCTGGCTCCTCCTGGTTCCCATGGGTGGGGGTGGAGCCGGCCCAGGGGATTTCTGGGGTGCGCAGACACTCCAGGGCCCCCACGTGCCATCCAACACCCACCCCAGCTGTGACTGGTGGGGGGCGGTTGGTGGGGAGCGGGGGGACCAACTGTGCCTCATAATATGCAGGGTTGGTGCAAAATGAAAACGCACGTCTCCTGACTGCTGAGTATTAAACATTTCAAGACAGTAACAGCGAACGTCAAACCAAGTGTGGGGCCTTCGGGTGATGCCCATGCCACTGGCTCTGGAACCAACTCTGCCCCACCTGCCCTCGCTGTGTGGCCTCGGGCCAGACCCCTAACCCTCAGAGGGTGGTCAGAGAACCCTGGCCCTCAGGGTGACTGTGAGAAATACGGAGAACCACCCGCTCAGACGAAGGGCCTGGGCCAGGCCTGTGCAAATAGCACCCAGGTGGCAGCTGCCTGTGTGGCCAGAGGACTGGTTGGGGGATGTGGAAGGGCAGGGCAGCTGAGTAGGCAGAGATGGTGCCCAGGGGTCTGGCCTGCAGGAAGGAGACAGGACAAGCACAGGGGCTCCGGGTCCGTGTCCTCCTAGGGGAGCTGGAATCTGCAGTCTGTGGGGGGTGGGGAGCAGGCCGGGGTGCAGCCGCTCAGGTCGGGTGGGAGGGGAGACAGACAGCCCCCCAAGACAACACAGGGCAGACTTGGAGATGAGTCCCAGGTCACTGCAGGCGTCCCAGCAGGCCGGCTAGCCCTTGACAGATAGGGGGAGTCCAGCGACAGGCTGGCTGAGACTGCTGACACGCCCACCCTGCACTTGGCTGCAGGGGGACCTGTGCTGTCCTGAATGGGTCCTGGGCTGCCTGGCAGTGACCCGGGCAAGAGGCTCCTCTGGGCAGGGGGACACCAGAAGCAGCAAGCGGGGTGGAGCTCGCTGTCACTGCCCCTAGGGAGCCACCATGAGCCCATCTGCCAAGGGCCCAGGGCTCTGTGAGGCCCCCCAGCACCCGCCAGCCTGCCTCCCCGGACCCAAGGGCCAGCCAGAGGGAACCTGAGCTCCAGTAGACCCCACTCAGCATTGCTTGAGCACCTACTATGTGCCTGCAGGCCTGGCTGCCAGTACTCCCAGGAGAGGAGTGGAGCCCCAGCTGCCCGCTCTTGGGGAAGGGGTGGCTGCTGGGGCCATGGGGCCAAGAGGACAGCTTGGAGGACTCCATGGGGAGAGAGAGGCCCTGGAGACAGGTGAGCAAGGCCTTGAAGGTCGGTAGGGGTTGGCGTGCTGGCCTGTGCCTGCCTCTCTGTGCACTGACGGAGAGCACCCTGGGGCAGCATTGTGCTCACGCCCATTTCACAGGTGTAGAAAGGGAGGCCTGGGGGCAGGGTGGGGAAAGGCGGAGTGGAGGCGGAGCTTGAAAGTGGAAGGAGGAAGAGGATGTGAGCGGGGCTTCAAGGCCAGGTGAGGCCAGGCAGGTGCGCTTTTCCTGCCCCACCCAGCTCTCCTCTGCCCCTGGGCCAGGCCTCACCTGTGACCTCTGACAGGTGGGCCTCAACAGGGGCTGGGAGAGCAAGTCATAGGAGTTTGGGGAGCGCACCACCTCTCTCACCAGGGGCTCCTGGGAGGGTGGAGACCCCAGGGAGAGGACGCCCCGAGTGGGGTGGTGGGAATGGGCCAGGCGCACCCAGGCAGCTGCACGACCAACAGCCCCTGTCCTGGGGACTGAGACCCCGCCAGCCAGAGGCCCCAGGGGCAGCTGGTTCGGCTCCACCTGCCTGAGCAGCTGCCCCCATACCCCAGCTCCTGCTCGGGCCAAACCAGCATGAACCAAGAGCACGGAGAGGGCCCTTTCCCTACCCCAGAGCCGGCCCGGCTGAGGGTCCCTCTGCAACAGGGAGACTGCGATGCCTGCTTCTCGGAAGGAGAGAAAAGACGAGGAGGCTGAGTCCGGAGGGCTTCCTGGAGGTGGTGGGCCAGCACTTTGGAAAGGAAGCTGAGTGCTGACCTTGTGAACTCACGTGACGATCTTTGAGGGTACTCACCCCCCATCCCGGGGCCATTTGACAGCCAGGAACCCAGAGGATCTACCAGGACGGCTTCCCACCAGGGGCCACACCCCATGGGGAACTGCAGCCCAGGTGGGCGGGGAGGGTGCCGGTCAGAGAGAGGGGCCGGCCTGGCCTCATTTCTCCCTCGCGGTCACCCCACGAGGTGGGGGCTGTGGTAGTTGCTTTCTTGGATTTGCAGGGAACAGGATGAGGGGCTCAGACAAGTTAAGTGACTCATCTGAGGTCACACAGCTGGCCAGTGGGAGTCAAATCCATCCCATTGTATCCTGGGGCCTGGGGCAGGAAATAGCTCCCAGCTGAGTGGCCGAGTGGGTTCTAGGTTCGGGACATTTGGCGACTGCTCCTCAGAATGGGGAGGTGGCCGAGCTGGGCTTTGCCTCATCAGTGGCGTCAGGCAGCGTCAAGTTTACTAATATTTATCTGAGGGATGCGTGGGGTTCACACGGAATCTGACTGAGCGGGCCCCCCGCCCCCTCACCCCGCCTGCCCCAGCCAAGGCAGACAGGGACTGGACCTCAAACATCTGTCCAGGGACACCCGCCATCCTGTCCAGCCGGGTGAGGATGTGGGGCAGCTGGGGTAAATGAGGGAGCTTCTTCGAAGCTCCCCGAGTGAGGTCATTTCCACAGCAGTGACGCAGCCAAGCTCCAGGCTGTTGCCCAGCCAGCCCAGTGAACAGCCTGTGAGAAAGCTGTGTGTCACAGCAACTGGGTGCCTGGGGCTCGATACCACCCCTTTCCTGTGGGTGGCTGTGCTCAGGGACAGCCCCAGGAGGGGGCACCCCTGCTCCCCTGCCTGGGAGACCCTCTCCTCTGGCTTCCTCCAGGAAGTCCTCTCAGATTGCCAGGGCACACCCTTGAGGCCTGCTCCCATCTGCATAAGTGCTGGGCCCTGGGGTCCCCAGGCCCGGGGAAGGCAGGGGACACCCGCGCTGCCTGGAGTCATAGCACCTGAGGGGCGGCATGATGCCACCTGACCTCACCGATGTAGCCCACTGGTCACGGCCTGTGACTCAGGCCTGCCTTCCCTTCACCGCGGCACCCTGGGAAAAGTGATGAACCCAAGGGCAAGAGGCGTGTCCCCACCTGGTTCAAGCTCTCACTGCCAGCCTGGCCTTGGCCCCTCAGGGCTGTGTTCCTTGTCCTGGTCTGGCTCCCTGAGCCCCTCAGGTGGAGTCTAATAAGCAGGCACTGGGGTCAGATGAGAGTGACGCTACCGGAGCACCCCAACCCTCCCTGTCCCTGAGTGAGCTCCCAGTCCCCTCAGTGCCCTGCTTAGAAGTCATTATCAGCTCCGGGATGCAGTGACAGGGTCTTATTCTTTGGGGCCCCTAGGGCCCAGCCCAGGTGCTCAGAAAATGGTTTTGGAAACAAGACCTAAAAAGTATCTACCTCACTGGCCAAGAGACCCGCCTCTCTGGTCAGCGCAACTGAAGTCGATGGAGACTGCTGGCTCGTAGGTAAAACCAGAAGCTGGGGAACAGGGGTCTGGAGGGGGGGCAGGGCCAGGTGGGTGCAGGCCTGGGGGAGCTCAGAGGGGAGCCAGCTGGTATTCCTTCACTCAGCAGGAACGTCACTGCCCACAGCCTGGTTCGTGAGGACGCCGGACCTCTCTGGGAGCTTGGACGGGAGGCTGGAAGGAGTGCAGGAAGCGAGAGAGAGGGCTAAGGTGGACAAGGCCACCCTCCCTCGAGGTGGTCAGCGCTTGGAGCCACCCAGCAGTGTCACCACGGACAGATGGGACCCCAGCTTTTTGCTCAGCAGGCCCGGGGCGGGGCCCTGTCATGTGCATTTGAATCAAGTTCTTTCCTACTTTAAAAATTACCAAAATTGTAACAGATGAACATAAACAGTAAAAAAAAAGGCTAAAATGATCTCAAAGTTCCGAGTGTTTACGTCTCATGTCTCCTCCAGGGCTGATCCTTTTTAAAATGCATTTGTATTTTATCAAAAAAATTGAACCTAGCACGTGATCCAGCAATCCCACTTCAGGTGCATCCCACGGAACAGAACGCGGGGTCTCGAAGAGCTGCCTGTACCCCATGGTCATAGCAGCATCCTTCACAGCAGCCAGGTGGACACACCCCAGCTGTCCATNGCCTTACAAGGGAGGCACCTGAGGCTGGGGAAGAGCTGATGCCACAGGTAGGCCGGGCGGCCAAGCCTGAGAACCGGGCAGCGGCGCTCAATGCCCCCGAGCCGCCACGGCCCCACCCTGGGTGGGGTCAGGAGCCGCAGGGCGGAGGCTTCCTTCCGGTGCCCGGGGCAGGTGGCGCGTGGGTGGCAAGGGCAGCTGGGGTGGGGGAGGCGCCCTGGCCGCAGTGGGGCGGCTTGTGGAAGAGCTGCCGGCACGGGCGCTGCCGCCGGCCCTGTGCTGCCCGCGCCACGCCCGGATCGTCGGCCTGGGCCAGACCCCAGGGCGCTTCCCGGCCCCCGGAGGGTGCGGCCCGGCCCGGCCACACCGCGCTCAGTCAGGCCCATTCCCCTGCGCTCGAGGCCGAGGGGGGTGGGGGGTTGCGGCGTCCCCGCTGCACCCTCCGCACCGGACGAGGGGGCTCCGACCCGCCGCGCCCAGGAATCTCACCGCACCACGCGGGATGGTGAAAAAGGTCAGGTCAAGTCATTTATTCGGAATGGCACGGATGAAAAAACAAAATATTAAGACAGATGATTGACGACAAATAACCAAAATAAATATATAGATAGTTCAATAATTTAACGCGCCCGCGCAGCGGGGCGGCGCTCGGCGACTCCGCACGGAAAGGTCCCGCTCCGCGGGGACGCGGCCCCCCCCTTGTCCTCGCCGTGGTCAGCGGGGGGGCTCCCGCCATCCCGGGCACCCCGTGCGCTCCTCCCGGTGCTGCCCGGCGTCCGGTCCGACTCGTCCAGCGTGTGGCTCCTGTGGGAGAAGCAGGGGTCAGGGAACGGTGCCCGAGCCCCGGCCGAGCGGGCAGGGCGGTCCGGCGGCCCGTGGGTCCCCCGAGGCCCGAGGCGACAGGTGCCAGCGGACGGCTCCTGAAGCGCGCCCGAGACGCCGCGACTGCGCGGCACCGGGTCCCCCTCTCCAAAGCGTCCCCTCGACGGGGCAGGAACCACCCCCGCCGTCTGTAGTCCGGGACGGGCCAGGGGCGCTGGCGGGCGGGAGGCACTCACCGCGGCGGGCTCAGGGCGCGCGGGCCGTCTGGGGCTCGGGGGTCGCGGCGGGCGCGGCGCGCTCCTGGCGGCTGCGGAAGTCCTGCAGGGCGCGGCGGTTCTGGAAGTCGATGAGCGCCAGCGTGATGGCCGCGTTCCAGCAGCTCTCGCCCGCGCAGCGGAAGTCGATCTCCTTGCGGTCGGTGGTGACGATGGTGAAGTAGACGTATTTGCCCGTGCGCTCCACGCAGTCCACCTTGAGGATGGAGTGGAAGCGCAGCTCCTTGGGGCGCGCGCCGGGGCCGGCGGGGAACAGGCTCAAGCAGTCCGGGGTGAGCACGCCGCGCTTCTTCTTCCACAGCTGGAAGAGGCTGTCGCTGCGCTTCTCCAGCTCGCCCTCGCGCAGCACCTCGCCGGGGGTCTTCATGTTGGCGGGCAGCGGGC